GTGTCTGGCCTGTGTCTCAGACTGGTCTTGAGCTGTGTCTTGGCCTGTGTCTGGTGCGTGCACTCTGAGTCTCGCCCATACTGACCCAGGGTTCCATGGCTGTCCGTGAGGTTCTGCAGGCTGAGAGTCGACTGGCAGCCGCTCATGCGGTTCACGGTCCGAAAGAATGCCTGGAGAGGTGAACACAGAGAAGAGGTAGTGAGGAGAGGGGTGCGAACTGTGCACTGTGCAGCAATGGCACTTAGATGCTCATAGGGGGCACTATGGGAACACTGTCTCATGGGCTCCTTCTCATACTGTACATGACAGTGGTGCTGACAACACCATCCACCAGTGTCCACCAGAGAGCAGTGGCATGAGTGCAATCTCATGGGTCAATAGCACCCTCAAGTAGACCTATCAGTGATGTTAGCGCCCCCTGGGGGACCCTGGGGACATTGGTGCCCTGCTGTAGGTGTCAGCGATGTTAGCGCCCCCTGGGGGACGCGGGGACACGTTGCTGTTCTGCTGTAGGTCTCAGTGATGGTTTTTCTCCCTGCTAGGCTCCGGTGTCCTTTATGTGTTCCTAAACTTTTCCAAAGGTTTGCCAGTGATTGCCCTGATGTGCTGGGGAGTATCCTAATGATACTATCCCAGTGCCAGAAATCATGCGGGAAAGCACAGCCTCCCATTTTAAAACTGAAATTCGTTATTGCAAACTTCCACCCATTTTCTAACTGCTGCTTCCAGTCCAGGCTCGAGGGGGAGCTGGAGATCTTCCTGGTAAGCAACGAGAGCAAAACAGGGTACAGCCTGGGACGCCAGACCATCACAGGGCAGACACACACTCTCACACACTCACACCAGGGCTCAGACACACACAGTCACACACTCACACCAGGGCTCAGATACAGACGCACACAGTCACACACTCTCACACACTCACCCCAGGGCTCACACACACACAGTCACACACTCACACCAGGGCTCAGACACAGACGCACACAGTCACACACTCACACCAGGGCTCAGACACAGTCACACACTCACACCAGGGCCAGTTATCCCAGAAGCCAGTTAACCCACCAGCCTGTCTGGACTGCGGGAGGAAACCAGAGCACCTGGAGGAAACCCATGCGCACACAGGTAGAACATGCAAACTCCACACAGACAGGCAAGGGAATAACCCCAGAAATTGAGCCCAGGGCCCCAGCGCTGCGAGCAGCAAAGCTAACCCCACAACCATGCTGCATTTACTGAAAACTATTTAGGAATTAATTTGGCTTTTTTTGTGAAAAAATTGAAACCTTCGAGATGGTTTTGCTGTCAAACGCTACTTACTTGTTAACTCTGCATGCAGATCACGTTGGAACGTTTCTGCGGTGAACCGTCTGCCACACAACCTGTATTAAATCACTCCCACATCCCATCACGTTACTCATTATAGAGACTAGGGAGCAGGAAGGGCCGCATCGTGTCTCAATTCTTGGGAACATGAATGCGAGTTGCATCAACATGGCGACTTACAGTATTTTCACAAAGTTCATGATTTTGTGCTTATTTCGAAATTTGTTTTTTTCCAATACCATCAATGAATGTCATTGTGTTATCGAGATGTAATAACTGGTCTGAGAAACCGGGGCCGCTCTGCCCCTTTAAGAGGAGATCTGTTTGCACTATGCCTCTGTCTTGCCTCCTCTCACCTCGTCGTCCCGAGAGATCATGATCTGTCCGTCCGTCAGCGCACAGCAGGAGATGTCCCAGAACGGCACCTCGGGCTGGGGTGTCCAGGAGATTCGGGTAAAGGGTGCTGCTGTGGGGGCAGCAGCAGAGGGCGAAGCGGAGGTGCTGGTGTCTGTCAACACAGAACACAGAACAGGACGGTGAGTCAACACCACAGCCCACAGAGAGCTTCGAGGGAGTGCTGTCCAGACAGTCAGGCCGGATCTGGACAGACTGTGGGCAGGGAACTGCAGCTCTTCAGTGTGAGACAGGAGTTCGTTTTCTGTTCAGTGTGGAACAGAGGAGTTCGGTTCTGTTCAGTGTGGGGAGAGGAGTTTGGTTCTGTACAGGGTGAGACAGAGGAGTTCAGTTCTGTAGAGAGTGAGACAGAGGAGTTTGGTTCTGTACAGAGTGAGACA